TAGTACAATAGAGCTTGTTGTAAAGCCCACTAGGGAAAAACAATAATCCAAATTCAATAAAACTCCATGTTTCTTAAAAAGCCTCTCGGCCCAAACAAATGGAAGGACTTGAAAGACCACCCAAAAAATAAATACACAAGATAAATAAATGCAATAAAATTATAAGGCAAACACATTAATTAATTTCTAGAATATTCAAACATATGATAATTAGGTAAACTGATCAGTCCCCTACAAATTAACCTTATGATGCAAATTAACATATATATCATTTTCAACATTACACTCATGTTAAGAGTAGGTATGCTTTTTTTTTTTTTTTTTTTTTTTTTTTTTTTTTTTTTTAAACAATCTATAACTCACAATTTAGGTGGTTGTACCAATTTCCTAATCATTCGTTTACAGGTATATTTAAATAACTTGTCATTAGACTAGAAGAGAAACACGCTAATGTGACAATCAAAATCGTAAAAACAACCTTGTATTTAGCGTCAAACACTCAATCGATTTCGAGAGCAGCTAAAGGTCCCTCTTCATCAGGAGAAGGAATACCTGGAAAGAAGAAAATAAAGGGGAAGGAGTCTCAGAAACACGTGGTCCTTATCAGCACTGCACGTGGTTATAACTGGATTTTTAATCAGAGTTGCCCTGGCCGCCTACTTTTACTGAGCCAGGCTATCTGATCAAGCATAAAGGACAAGAAAAATTAGCAAAATTAAAAATAGGGAGCGAAGGCAAATGCACCTTCAAGCTCAAAATCTGAACTTCAAATAATGAATTTCAAGAATGTTTATTTGAAGTTCAGATTTTGAGCTTGAAGGTGCATTTGCCCTTCGCTTCCTATTTTTAACTTCGCTAATTTTTCTTGTCCTTTATGCTTGATCAGATAGCCTGGCTCAGTAAAAGTAGGCGGCCAGGGCAACTCTGATTAAAAATCCAGTTATAACCACGTGCAGTGCTGATAAGGACCACGTGTTTCTGAGACTCCTTCCCCTTTATTTTCTTCTTTCCAGGTATTTCTTTCTCCTGATGAAGAGGGACCTTTAGCTGCCCTCGAAATCGATTGAGTGTTTGACGCTAAATACAAGGTTGTTTTTACGATTTTGAACTTGTCATTACTTAAATCTTAAATCATTTCGTTTACAAGTACATTAATATAACTACTCATTATTTAATTCTTCTATTCACTTCGTTTACACGCATATTAACATAACTATCATTACTCGGTAACAATTTAAATAGAAAAGACAGAATAAAATCACTCGCAGGGTGAAGTTCATACATCAGTCTTTCCGTTGCTGGGGGCTGCCATCATCAACCGCATATTAGAGATTTAATAGTTCAGCAGCTAATCCTGCTCATTTCGTTGAACCTTCGAAGAAATCGGGAATGCCATCATCGACTGATTAATATGGAGTTTTAATAGTTCAACAGATCGTCCGGCTCATTTCGTTGCCTCTCGAAGAAATCGGGAATGCCATCATCGAAAACCCCAGGAAAAATACTGGTATCAGGCAGCTTCTTTCAAATCAGGAACATCCTTAATTAGGGACGCTAACGCTTCAACAAAATCTAACGTTTTAACAAACACGGGTATCGGGATTCTTCTTTTAAATCAGGAACAGTCTTTATCAGGGACGCTTCAATAAAATCAGGAAAACACCTTGAAAGGACCCAAACTGGAAAGGCACTGAACAGGGAAAAGGTAGGACGAACATCTGTATTAGGATCACCTCAAGAATGTCTACTAAAGTTCTCGGTAAAATATAACGAAGAAGCACGAAGCTATATTTTGCGTAGAGCATTTTGTCTCAACTTGAGTAAAATTCTCATCAGCTGAAAGCCGAGAGAAATCCAGGTCCGCAGCCCGCTGGTACACGCCGCTCGCGAGAAAAAGACCCGCAAGAAGTCAAGCCCCCCACTTTTTTTTTTTTTTTCCTTCTTCTTCAAAAATCAGAATCCGAATGAATCTAACAAGTTGCAAGCCTCCCAAGAAATCTCGATTTCTCCGCCTCTGTAAGTTCATAGGCCCACAAAAATCATAAAATTAAATCTTACCAATCCCAGAATTTTACTTCATCTTTAACTAAGAAAATTCCACCCCCACGACGAATCAAAACCCAGAAAAATCTGACAATGAAGCCAAACATCTTTACTCAGAACGTGTGAAAGTAAATTGGTCCAACTAACAAGCGGAAACTAAGCTATACGAGAATCCAATTACCTAAGCTTACTGAAAGAAACATTGCAAATACAACAAAGCGAAAGGAAGACGATTTTCGTTTCAAAAGCCGTTAGTAAAAAGGCTACCAGCGAAGAAAACGACACGCAACTCGTAGTAAAAGGCCGTATAAACCAGGTGGCTCTTTCACCAGTTTCTTGTCTTTGTTACACCAACAGTTACACCTAAATAAGGCTTTTAACAACTTAAGAATACTCTTTTTTTTTTTTTTTTTCAGATTAAAATATACATGAGTACAAATAAAAATACTAGATTAATGATAACTTAAAGCACATATTAATACTGTAATACTGCAATTAAAATTCGCGACATAACACATCGATTTAAATTGTATCCATTAGAAATTGGTTACTTGAATAATGATAACATGAATAATGATCTGTGGCATAAGAAAAGAAACCCTGATCGTTACAATAATTTTACTATTGAATTTTATCTCGAGTACTGCTAGTTCTTTGGCGATGCTATTAATTCAATTAAATTGTTTCTTCCATAATTTTTATGTTGTATAACTAAATTAAAATTGTTACTTGTTTAATAGCTACTTCTAAGTCGTTTTGGAAGTCTGCCTCATCGGAAGGATAGTCTTTTCAGTCTGATTCATCTAAGAAATGTGATCCATGATCTTCTTAGATCCTACGGTTTTTAACTGCAGATTGCCCAAGTTATTTTTAAAACTATGCGTACAAATGTTCTTGTTCTTCTAGTTAGCTGATGTTACAGCAACTGATATTATTATAAACTGGAAATGTGTTTCTAGAATTCAGTGAGCGCATAGCGAAGTAGGAATTGAAAGTGCAGCTTAAGACAGTAATTTTTTTGTACAGTCTTTGTAACTATACTGTACAGACGGATTAGAATTACTTAAATTACGACAGAGCATCAAGGCTAGCTTCCTAAGAAGAGGACTTTCTAAAATTCTTAAGAATTACCTTTTTTTAAAAGGACTTAAAGGTTTCCTTGCCTTAGTTTTAAGGGCTACGGTCTTTTTATGGAAGACCTTTAAAGGGAAACTGGCTCGTATTCACTCGATGAAACACTCGATGAAATTCGTATTACACTCAATGAAAACCACTAAAATTCCCAAACAGCCAGCCCGTTCGAATTTGAACTGAGGACAAACAAGAATGCGCGACGTTGATTTTAATAGGATATTATCCACTCCCTGTGATCTCAGAATTTGAGACTGGAGTTACGAATTTTTCTACCAAGTTTTATTTCATTAAAGCCGCGAAAATGGCAATACCGGCCACCTGACTTGTTGCTGACGTAACAATTACGTTAGCCAATCAAACGTGAAATATTTGGCTACCGCATCTAAATGTGCTGAATGAAAGAGGTGTATATTTTCATTCACGAATGTGGGTACTATCTTTTTAAATGTTTTTAATGATTCTATTAGAAGTAGACGAGGGTTAGATGTTCTGACGCTCATGTGTTTTGAATTGATGGTTTGAGATGTAGAATGTAAACAATAGTTTCTGTCATAAATGATTTGTGTTTTTCTTTCATTTACTTATTTTAAAGTGTAATTTGAATTGATGGTTTGAGATGTAGAATGTAAACAACAGTTTATGTCATAAAATGACATGTATTTTTCTTTCATTTACTCATTTTTAAATGAAATTTTCTGAAAGAATTTAAATAAAAAATTTTAATTTCATTTTTTAAAATGAAATTAAAATTTTTTATTTAAATTCTTAAAAAATGAAAAAATTCATAAAAAATGAAATTATTAAATTTTTTATTTATCGGTTTAAAAATTTTTATACCGATGTTTATTAAATGAAAACTATATCATTTTAAAATTTATTTGAAAAAGTGTTTTCGCTGCTAGAAAATTCTGAAACAATTCTTAAAAGTATTTTATTTGAATTAATTAACTTCTTAAAAAATTGATGGAAAAATGTGGTATGAATTGATGGAAAAATGTGGTATTTTTAAAGCATAGTCCATTATCACTTTCTGAAAAAGTAAAACTATGGCATCTTTGCTTGGCATTTACTGCGAATATTACTAGGGTGTACTTTTACATACTTTTCTGGGGAAAAGTGCAGATTTGCCCACTGCTTGGCTTGTTTTTAAGAATTGCACATACTCGGTATCCATGTACGCGTCGACCTATTTTCACTTAAAAAAAATTCCAGAATTGCACAAAAATGGCATTGCGCACACTCTTGACTTTATCCATGCACACATCGATCTACGTTCAATTAAAAAGTAAAAAAAAATTGACAAAAATCCAATGTACATTTTGGTCAAAACATAGATTGTTATCTATTTGGGAAAAAAAGGAAGGTACACAAAAGTGAAATACATTTGTAGCTCTTGAAAGAAACTGCTATAAAAATAACTTCAAACAATAATCATTTTCTTTAATTTTTGACTAAGACTAGAGATGCAGTTGGAAGAGAGAGTACTTTGTATTGTAAAATGATATTAATCATATATAATTCGTAAAGTGAATTCATTAGTTTTCACAATGTTTGAAAACTATTACTTTGGTTTTTTCACAATGTTTGAATTATAAAATATCATCATTCTAAAACTCCCTGATATTTGATAAATATAAATAATGTAAAATGCATGAACATGCTCAAAATCATATTAATCTAAAATAGCCATATGATAAGATTCGTAGCTTGTTATTATGCATGCTGAAACTGAAATTAAGATTGTATAAATTAATGTGTAAACATACTTTATTATATTTATATAACTGTAATCTTCATTTAATAAATGTTTTTCTTTTTTTCAGAGTGTCTGAATATTTGATGGGTGATTTAGATAGTTCATCCCAACCAGTACCAAAAACCAGAGTAAGATCATATTTTATTTCTATTACAAAATCTTTCACATGCTATAGGTATTTTAGTCATATCTGGAGGGGAGTTTGTTATTGTTTGAAAAAAATTAAACTGCAAAATTAAGTATTTGTTAAATATTCTTTACGTAAATATTTGCTTTCAGAGCCTCTCTGTTTTTAAAAGTCATGGCTTCATTTGTTATTTTTTTGGTGTATCTATGTTCACTGTGTTAGAAGGAGGTTATCATTTTAATTTAGTACACATATTTAGCATCTTTATGTTTTTAAAACGATTGTAATCTTCTTAATTCACTTTTTTCGAAATAAATAATTTTTAGGGCTAATCTTTGGAATATGGTAACAGGTAGTTTGGCGACATTTTGGTAAGGCGATAAAGGTTACTAGTTAGGTCTTTAGCAATGTACATGGATAAAGTCAAGAGTGTGCGCAATGCCATTTTTGTGCAATTCTGGGATTTTTTTTAAGTAAAAGTAGGTCGACGTGTACATGGATGCCGTGTATGCACAAATTCTTAAAAACGCAGCAAGTAGTGGGCGATTCTGCACTTTCTCCCAATTTTGCACCTAATCTTCATTGTGATTAATCACTTTTGTTCCATAAAAGTTCTAGCATAAGCGTAATTCGGCTAGCAGATTGTTCAAAAAAAATGTTGAGTAAAAAAAAAAAAAAAAAAAAAAAAAAAAAAAAAAAATGCCTTTACTTCATGAAAACAAAATGGCGTCCAAAACAAAACTACCAGGTTGCTGTACCAGGGTTGGTCGCCAAATTTTCACCAAAAAATCTCCAAGTTACCATAATCCGAAGATTAACCATTTTTAGTTCTTTAGCTATTTTTCAGATAGCATGATTTTAGGAAGAAAAAAGTATTTATGATAAAAATATTTTTAAGTTTCTAAGGATCATATTTTTATCAGGCTGTCCGGTGAAAGTTTGGATACTGTTCTAAAAATTTCTGTAAATACTCGGAACTCTCAGAAAATGTCTGTGCTTGATCTGTGCATAGTGATAAGTATCATGGTTGTTAAGTTTAATTATATGGATATTCAGGAACAGTACTTGCATATTACACCATTGACTAGCAGAGTAGCATGATTTAACGGTAGTAATGGGTGACTGTGTCCTTTAAAATTCCACAGTAATGATTGGGACTGTTGTGGAAGTTTCCGCCAATGGTCAACATGATAGTATTTAAGTTTCCCAGTGCCATCGATTTACCGGAAATTTCTTGAGGCAGCAGTGGCGATAGTGTCACTGAACATGCAAAGTGGATATTGCATGTTACTTATTCATGCAAGTGGCTCAAGTAAAGCAAGGAATTCCATTACCAATGACATGCTATAGTGTGCTGAAAATCATGTTGGTATGCTTTTGGAGTATGAAAGTTGTCATTTGCTGATCATTCATTCGAAAAAGACAAAGTGACTGCATGTTATGATTCTGCATGGAGTACAACTGAAAAGTACTCAACCTGCTTGCTAAAAATTTCAAGGCAGAACCATAGTTAGATTAATTGTTATACAATAATGCCTATAAGAAGCCATCGAAAATTCCGGAAACGTAGATGAAGCTCATTCGTTCACCATAATTAAATGCAAAATTCAGTTTAAAAATGTAAAAAAATAACTGAAACTGCATATAATGTGATATTTTTTTTTTTTACATTATTGCCAAATATTATTAACACAACACATATACAAATTCTAAATCTGCCAAAGACAAAAAAAAAAAAAAAAAAAAAAAAAAAAAAAAAAAAAGGAGGAATGCACTCCAGATATTTTCTAAGAAATCAACTCTCCAAAGAGACTTCTCAGTTACATAGTCATTATTCCCCAGATTTAGCACAGTCAATCTACCACTTATTTTGGCATTTATAAGACTGTTGTGAGATAAAATTTTTGAGGAAAATATATTCTGTTCTTTTCTCAGTACCTGATTCAGAAATGTATGTATGTGTGCACATACTATTTGCATGCATATGCGTACATATACGCATTTTTGAATCTAATCCCGATAACTGATAACAGAAAAGCACTATACGATCATTGTTAGTATGAAAAATGTATTCATTGTTAGCATGCTGATAAATTTTTTCTTGATCAGCACTGCAAGTTATTAGCTTTTGATACCTTTTAATGTTTGCATAATTATGATGCATGAATTTGATACATATAAATATTTCATAGTCAAACAGTGTATATAAAAATGTCGGTAAAAATATATTTACGTTGCACCTTGGAGATTTTTGCCGGTACATGGACACTGAGTTTGCACAATTCTTTGACTTGTTATTTTGGTTTTATGTAGCGCTGATTTCTGCGCCAAAAATCGCCGCTACACAAATCCAAAATAACAAGTCAAAGAATTACAAAAATTCGGTATCCATGTACGCATCGATCTCTATTCACATAAAAAGTCAAAGGACAGCCAACAAAAAAATGTATGATCTCAATAAACTGCATTTTAAATCAAACAATGAAAAAAAAATAAAAAAGGGAATTCATGGTTAATCTTTGGATTATGGTAACTTGTCGATTTTTGGCGAAAATTTGGCAACCAACCCTGCTACAGCAACCTCCTACTTTTTTTTTCGGCGTCATTTTGTCTTCACGAAGTAAAGACAGGTTTCTTTTTTTTTTTTTTTTTATTTACTCAACATTTTTTCCAACAATCTGCTAGCCGAATTACGCTTATACTAGAAATTTTATGGAACAAAAGTGCTTAATCATGACGAATATTAACTGCAAAATTGGGAGAAAGTACAGAATCGCAAACTCCTTGCCGTGTTTTTAAGAATGACACACACACGGTAACCATGTACATGTCGACCTATTTTCACTTAAAAAAACATCCCAGAATTGCAAAAAGTGCCATTGCACACACTCTTGACTTTATCCATGTACACTACTTTTTTTCTCATAAATTAGAAAAATTTGCATGAAAATGCATGAAAATTTTGTGAATCTTTAAAGTCAATAAAAAGGACATATATGAAATTACCTGATCGCGAAATAGTATATACCCTTTCCAAGGATGAACATTTGCACGTATAAAATAAATAAAAAATTTTCGGCACCATTTTGTCTTCACGAAGTAAAGACAGGTTTCTTTTTTTTAATTTACTCAACATTTTTTCCAACAATCTGCTATCCGAATTACGCTTATGCTAGAAATTTTATGGAACAAAAGTACTTAATCATGGCAAATATTTACTGCAAAATTGGAAGAAAGTGCAGAATCGCAAACTCCTTGCCGCTTGTTTAAGAATGGCACGTACACGGTAACCATGTACATGTCGACCTATTTTCACTTAAAAAAATCCCAGAATTGCACAAAAATGGCATTGCGCACACTCTTGACTTTATCCATGTACACTACTTTTTTCTCATAAATTAGAAAAATTTACACGAAAATTTTGTGAGTCTTTAAAGTCGGTAGAAGGACATATATGAAATTACCTGATCGCGAAAAAGTATATACCCTTCCCAAGGATGAACATTTGCACGTAAAAAATAAATAAATATCCAAAAACTTTTCCCTCTAAATTATTTATTATAAACGTCACCTGCGAATTTACAGCACAAACATTAAAAATGTTTGCAAATACTTAGTGTCAAATATTTAAATTATTTCCATGCACATTTACTTCTAATGAAACGTATTCCAAAATGCTACAAACATATAATTTACAAAATCACTATCATTTAATTAAAATTAAATTAAATTAAAAACACTATTTAAAATATAAATAAACACATACATTAAATTAATAAAAATTAGCTTAAAATCTTAATTACTTTAAACTAATTCATTGCTAATAACAATTTTCCAATAATAGCATATTAATTTATTTATTCCTTATATTTATAACAATGCATAAAAATAATACCCTCAAATGATTAAAAATACTAACTTACCTAATCCTCTTCAGAATCTTCAGTGCATGGCGGATAAACTTTCTTCAAATATTATTATTGTACCAGGTAGAATATACTGCTTAATAAAACTTAATAAGCAATCTTTATTTCTATCTCGCACAACCTTAAAAAAAAAAAAAAAAACTTATTACTACCCCTTTCAATCCCACCAAATACCCATTTCAAATTCACTTTAGATAGGGCCATGGGATCCAAAAATTTAGCAACACTGTTTCACACAACACAGAATGAAGCTAAATACAAAATGCTATAAAGTACTGCAGATATTTTTCCAAATGTCCCCCTTTTTCTGATTAAAGAACTGTGATTCGTCCATATATGTCACATGACATATCTCATTTCTCTCAGACAAAATAATCCGTAATTGGAACTGGGTACTTCTCACATTATTGTCAAAGTCCTAGGTAGTAACCTTTATCGCCTACGAAAATGTCGCCAAACTGCCTGTTACCATATTCCAAAGATTAGCCGAATTCATCTTAACACTACAGAAAGGAAATATCCACTTACCTTGTTTACAAATTTCCATATCTTCAGTGAAACAAAATTTCTTGACAGCATCCAAAAACTTCATGAAAGTATCTGTATACTGGCGTCGCCACATAAATTCACAAATTCTACTCTAACCAAAATGTCTCCTATCTATTATGTATGATATACCTCTTGATCAGTAATAACAAATATGTAAGCAAAAAATCTCTTAAAAGAGCCTAGATTCCTTAGAAAATGTTTGGATTTATTTATTTTATTTTATTTTATTTATTTATTTTTTGTCTTTTGCAAATTTAGAATTTGTATATATGTTGTGTTAGTTGGCACTTGATAAAAAAATTTTATGTTAAAGGAGCATGCATTTTCAGTTTATTTCTTTACATCTTTAAGTTGAAGTCTGTGCTTAATTCTGGTGGAAAGAACAGAAAATTTGTTTTGTTGGCAGCATATTATGTTCATAATATATTTCAAGATGTAATTACTAATGTTAAGCTGCAGAAACATAGTTAGAATAAAATTATGAATTCCTGAAATTCAGGCTATGAAACTCTCAAACATTAATACT